CTTGGGCTTGTTTGTGGGTCAGCAAAGCTTCTGTCCTCTGAACATGTCTCTTTAGTAACTGAGAGCTCCCAATCTGACTGGACTTCTGGGCAGAGGTCACTGCGGCAGTCACATGAGTCCTGGGAAGAAAGCAGCACCTAATGGAAACACCGCAAAAATACAGAGTACACAGAGAAGCCAAAGAGAAGCTTGCAGAACTTTCACCATAACCTGCATGTCCCCAAAAATGACCAGAATAGCCAGGCATGTTCCAACTGAGAACTCAGAGCCTATACACGGAAAACGTACACACGCAAAGACAGAAACCAACAGCTCACACTAAACCCACGAAGCTACAGCCCACCAAGCTGCACAAACCCTGAGCCCGAGCGACACGCACGCAGCCCGGCGGCAGAGGACACAAACCTGCAGCTCAGCTCACGAAATGCGAACCCAAACCACCCGCACACTGTCTCACGGCGCCTCCCCTTCCACTCAGCATCCTGATCCAGAAGATCAGAACCCACAAGTCCATCAGCTAGAGTAAGGACCCAAGTCAGAAAGACGACAACAGCATACCGCAGTAAACACACATAAGCCTGCGACAAGCAACAGGCTACAAAAGAAAGGCAAAAACAAGGTAAAACAAACACTGCAGGAAACTAGGCAATAAAACACAGACCGAGAAGAAAAAGAACCGCTGGCACCGACACAGGGCAAAGACAGCCCGCTACGAGAACACAAGAACCAGGGAGCTCAACCTGAAACACCCTCCACAAATAGCAAAGAGAGACCACTCCGGCGAGAGGGACACCATGCTGGGGAGGGAAAAGAAAAAGCGCACGAGAGAAAGACCCACAGAAAAAAGGAAAAGACACAGTACCTAACACAAGAGCCCTACCTGTGCCGGAAACCATCACACTCGCACACCACAGAACAGAATCAAGCGCTGTCATACATACACCCGCTACGAGGCCCAGGAGAAGAGGAGACACAAAACAACAACAAAAACACAAAAACAGAAAAGACCAACTCTGAAACGCTACACAGCGGCAAGCCAAACAACCTAACAAAAACCAAAAAATGAAACGAAAAAACCTAGACACCAGGCCCTGCGTCAGCCAGACCCACTACTGCCTCACTTGGCTTATCCGAAAAGACAAAAACGAAATGGGCGGTTTTTGTAATACCTCATGTTATCACATGGAAACAAGGATGGATTCTTTTCAACTATGTTGGTGATTCTTCTAGGATCAGCAAAGACTACATTAACCCTCAGGCAGGTTAACTAAAATATCTTTAAATCACAGATGCCACAACTACAAATAGGACATCATAATATTTACTTCATGAAAGTTAAAGGATCAAAAAAAGAACCTATGTTAATGACCAAGTACAATGCCTAGGACTATACACCCCAAAGTTCCTGAACTATCGGATCAAGTCCACCTGCACTGCCAACACCTCGGCATGAGGTACTCCAACACTGGCAGAGCCCTAAGATTACGGTACTACTTAACAGAGGCTACCAGGAAGATAGGAAAATGAGTCACAGGTGATTCTAATGGAACAACAAAATTATTTAAAATGCAATATATAAAGGTCATTTTAAAATAAACCCCAAAACAAAACCAAAAACCCTTCCAGACTTTGAGAAAATGTTGGTTTATACAAATCAAATTTGTTATATCTTCATCAATAAGAAATAAAATTAAAGAGAAAAACTTCCACCCTAGTGAAAGTATGATGGGAAAAAGATTATTCAAAAAGTCTTAAATTATCTTCTCCCCACAAGATAAATTAATAATTTCTGTTGTAGCTATGTGCCATTAAATTGAAATGGACTCATAACTAATCCTTCAGCAGGTTTTCAAAGACTGTAAACTGCATGGAGGAAAACTGCTTATCTTTCTCCTGTAAAGCAGCTGGATTCAAAACATCTTCCTTTGGATTAGCTGTACAACTACTTACCCACTAGGCGACCAGAACACTCTAATTATTAATTACAAACGAAGACAGTATCTTTACACTGGAGCAACAAATGATCAAGATTAACACTCCCAGGGAGCTCTGGTGGCCTAGTGGCAAGATGATGCACTGCAATTCCAGAGGTACGCGGTTCAAATCCACCAGATGCTCTGCTGGAGAAGGAGGAGGCAATCTCCTCCTGTACCAGTCAGATCTGATTTGACGGTACACGTAAAAATAATACAATTAAAAAAATTAAAAAAAAAAAAAGATTAACACTCCCTGTAACAAGACACAACATCATGTAGCCCTGATGTGATGTACTCAAAAGAGCATCCCTCTATGGCATTCCTGCCCCCAGGAATGGAGAGAAATTTAAATAATAATTTAATTAATAAATTTAATACTAGTAAAATATTGGGTAACCAAACTGAAGAACACTTTAGTCTTCAAAAATGCCATGATCTGAAAGGCAAAAGACTTGAGGAACTGTTCCAAATAAGAAGAGATGAATGAAGCATAGTAATTAAATGCAATCAATGTGTATTTCTTCATTTTGACATTTCTATTATGGAATACACAAACTAACATTTGGGAAAAAGAGCTAACATGTATATGGGTGCACACCTAGGAGAGGATAGCATCAATGAATGAGGCCATCTAAAGATTAAATCCCTGTGTGCATCAAAATGTTTTCTAAGAGGATGAAAAGAAAAATCTACTGCCTAAGAAAAAACATTTGGCAATGACATTTCAGACAAGAGTCTCATAACTAAAGTTTACAGAATCCTACAGGGCCTCCACAAGACGACGACTGATAACCCAACTACAAAATGGGCAAAAGACAGGGAAAGACTTTTCACAGAGAAAGATATTTAGATGGCCAACAGACACATTAGGAAATGCTCAAAGTCACTGCCAATTAGACAGATGCAAATCAAAACCACCATGAGATACCATCTCACCCCAATAGCAGTGACAAAGTTTAACAGGACAGCAAGCAATAAATGTTAGGGAGGATGTGGGGATAATAGAACTCTCATACACTGTTGGTCAGACTGTAAATGGTACAACTACTTTGGAAGGCAACTTGGCCTTTCCTCAAAAAGCTAAACACAGTAATTCTGTATGACTCAGCTAGAAATATATGACACTGCTAGAAATATACCCAAAGGAAATTAGAACTGAGACACAAATGGAGATTTATACACCGACGTATATAGCAGCATTATTCACAAAGGTAAGAAAATGGAAACAGCCCAAATGCCATCAACAAATGAATGGATTTAGAAATTGTGAAACATTTATGACAGAACACTATGTAGCAGCAAAAAATTTTTAAAAATTGGATTTAACATGGGAGAGGCTAGGGAGCACTATGCTGAGTGAACTAATTCAGTCTCATAAGGACAAATACAGAATAAGATTATTACGGTAAAAACAGAAGGATAACCAGTAGGATGTGTATAAAAGTCCAAAGAGGGAAGGGGAGGGCAGGGTATACAAGAAAGAGGGTGGAGAGACAAGGGAAGTCACAGGGTCACAGTTTGGTAGGCAGACAGAGAGTGTAAAGGAGTTAGGAAAGATCAGTGGGGATCTGAAAAGGTGGGGTAATGGTGGGTATAGATTTAAGAGATGATGCACGGTAATGAAGGAATGTATGAAACACAATCTGCATGAAAGGGGGGAAAAAGAATATATGGGAATTTTTGAAAATTATTCTGACAGCTTTTTCTAAATCTGGAAGCATAATTGCACTTTACTGTAAAGGCAGCCTGGTTCCTGTAGATCTTGGAGAATCAGCCTACCTGAGATTATCATCTGCTCCCCCAACCACCACCAAGCTGTTCTCTGCCCGGATCTTCTCCCGGAAGTCCTCCATGGCTTCAGGGTGACACTGCAGGGAATTCTGGCCAATAACAAAGAGGACTGGAGTCTTCATATCCAAGAGAGGATCATCCACATCCTAAAACAGGTACAGGTTTTATCATCAGTCACTGGCATTCACTCAACGCTGACCTGGAAACGCTACTCACAGCAGGATGGACAGGAAGGCTGGCACTCTGCACTTCACATGCCAATGCCCGAGCTCTAAGCATCCCCCGATGCTTACCCCTCTGGATCCATCCACAGTAAGCAGAGGAAATCCGAGGCAGACAACTGCAGTGACGTAGTCCATAACTGACACCTATAAACAACACAACTGTGTGAATAACGGTCATCTGAATTCACAGGAGGTGTAGCCACCAAAATCCAGATATGGCCCACGTTTACCAGCTACTCTCCTATCCTAACTCGCAGGCGCATCAACATCAGGAAGGTGCTGACAGGGCATCTTCCACAGCAACTCAGGCCAGGGAACTATGCCCTGAGAGGACACGAGCAGAAAACTGAGCCATGCCATGTACAGTTTAATATTTTAGTTGCATCCATTTCCCAAACTAGGCACAGAGTTGCCCCGTCCATTTTATCTCCACTAGTAGCAATTTCAATCAGAAGAACATAAATCATGTCCCTTGTTTGGTTTGGGATCTAACAAGTAACTCCTAAGTCACATCAAATTCCTTACAGTGGTCAGGAAGTCCTACCTAGCCCAGGAAGTAGGAGGTGGCCTCTTTCTGGTGCTGTCAAGTCAGTCTGGACTCTGACACCCCATGCCCAAGAGGGTGAACCAATGCCCTATCTTGCACCTTCCTGACAATCATCACGACTTGTCAACTCATGTTTTGTAGGCACTGTGTAAATCCTTTTCATTGAGGGTTTGTGATCTTATCTTTTTTAGTGACTTTTTTTTTAAACTGGATGAATAAATATCAGCATCTTCTAAGTTGCAAAAATGCCACCTTTTTTATCCACTTGAGGACCAGGGTCATCGACATGCCCAAAACACTTAGGCAAACAAATGTATACAAAATAATATAGAAATGGTGTTCCATAAAGGTCGGTGAAACAGACATCATCAAATTCAGCAAAGTGTGTCAGGGATGTATTCTTTTTCTCTATCTATTCAATCTGTATGCTAAGCCAATAATTCATGAAGCTGGACTCTGTGAAAATGAACACAGCGTATGGATCGGAGGAAGACTCATCAATAACCTATGTTATGCAGATGATACAACCTTGCTTGCTGGAAAGTGAGGACTTGAAATACTTGCCACACAAAATCAAGAACTAGTCTTTGGTATGGATTACATCTCAACATAAAGAAAACAAAGGTACGCAACATCAGGAAAATGGAACCAAGAGACAATGATCTGGAGAAACGACTGCAGTTGTCAATGATTTCATTTTGCCTGGATCAACAATCAGCACTCTTGAAACTAAAAGGAGATCGGCAGACGTACTGCACTGAGCAAGTCCACTGTCAGGGAATTCTCCAAAATACTAAAAACAATGAAATCACCTTGAAAACTAAGGTGTGCCTGATTCAGGTCATGGTCTTCTTTTCAATCACCTGCTACAAATCTGAGAGCTGGACAATAAATAAGAACAACAGAAGAACTGATGCCTTTGAGTTGTGATGGAGAAGAGTACCGAATATCTCACAGATCACCAAAAGAACAAACAGGTTTGTGCAGCCAGAGTGCTCCTTGGAACCAAGATGACAAAGCTCCATCTCTCATACTTTGAACATGTTTCTAGATGAGGCTATTCCTTGGAGCAGGACACATCATGCTTAGAAAGAAGGCATCTGGTTAGCATAAGACAGGAAGACCTCTGACGACATGGACTGACACAGTGACTGAAGCAATGCCCTCAAGTGTTTCAGGAATGAGGAGGATGGCAAAGGACAGGACTGGGTTCAGGTTTGTGCATAGGTTGCTCTAAGTCATACTCGACTTGGTGATGCTTTACAACCATATGCCAGGACAATCTCCCATTTCTCAGTGACTTCCAAATAAGATGAAAAATACTTACGTGACAGGCCACCAAAGCCCCTGTATTCCAGCCGATCAATATAATGGGCTTGTGCGGGAAATGGTTATGAATCTTCGAGGAAAAAGAAAGACAGTAAGACGGAGAAAGCCAGACATGGGTGCAGAACAAGCCTAGAATGCCGGGTGGTGCCACAGTGAACTGAACTAACAGCATTCTTACCTCCAGTACTTTGTTCCTTACGGCCCCAATCATATGCTCAAGACACTGCAGAACACCTACCCCACTCCCGTTGTTCAACAGGTGTGTAGCCACAGGGATGACCTACAAGGGAAAAAAGTGACACATATGCCAACAGAGGTGATTTTCAAATCTACTCATAATCCACTGAACCCACCCTAGAGCCCACTGACCTATAACACTATTGTATTTCCAACAAATGAACAATCAAGGGGTGCTTCACATTTAAATTCATCCACCTTGACTGCTCCCTCCAGCATTTTCTTTTCAGTACTCCAAAACTATATGCACCCTCCTGTGAGAACCCTGTTGCCCTAATACTTACCTTGCCTAAACAGGACAGCTGAGACTGCCAGAAGCGGTGGCGGCGTGAGGTGGGGAACACAGAGCTGGAGGGGCCAGAGGAGGCAATGAGAATCAGAGGAGAGCCAGGGAGCTTGCTCTAAGGAGAAAGAACCCACCCAAGAACCAGTGAGGAGGAGGTGTTGTTCCACTCAATCACCGTTCCCTTTCTGATCCCACCCCTCATTTGCTTATTAAACTGTTACTCAACCACAAACTCACTGCCAATTGACTGCCTCACCATGACCCTCTAAGCCACAGCAGAACTGCTCCCCAGGCTTCTGAGATGGGATATCTACCAACCAGCCGACTGCCTCACAGTGACCTTATGAGCCCCAGCAGAAATGCTCCTTAGGCCTGTGAGACAGGACATGGAAGCAGAACTGACTCATCTTTCTCCTGCAGAGGAGCTGGTGGGTTGGGACTGCCAACCTGTTAAGTGAAGCCCACACTTAATACACTACGTGATCTGTAGAGAACAAGTTAGTAGTGAAACCATTAAACCATTTATTATCCTCCTACCACAGTTCTAAGGCTGATTCTAAAAATTTCATATTGAATTCTGAGCTGTCCAACTTACAGGTTTGTTATGAGAAAGCACTCCCACAGCTGGATCCCAGGGCCTCTTCAGCAGGAGAGATAAGGCCTCAGCTCCCGCAGCTCCAGTCCTGGTGTTAGAGGACACCAGCATCCGGTCAATCAAGGTGGGGATCTGGAAGCAAGGAAGAGTGATGCTGCCAGAAAGAAGCAGGAGACTCTTACCAGCAGCCATGAACAGACTTCACCTGCATCTCTCAAACAGTCCCCAAGAGAAAAGGCACAAATAAATGAACAGTTGAAAACTATGTTTCCTGCATTAAAGGAAATTATACAATTCTTCTGAAAACAATGTGATAAACATCAACAGGCTTAAAATGTATTCCTACCCTTTTTCCAAAGCACTCTACTTCTGGAAACTTTCCCTAAAAACATACCAAAAATATCAACGTAACTGTCTTAGTTATCTTGTATACCACAAGCAGATGCTTCAACACACAGAAATGCATGCTTAGTCTAGGAGGTTAGAAGCCCAAATTCAGGGTGCCAGCTCTACAGGGAAGTCCTGGGTTGAAGGGTAACTAAGAGCCACAGGCTGAGGGCTTTCATCAGCCTCTGTCCAACCAGTAAGTTGGACAGCTCAGTTTTTTTACAGTTTTGAGTTCTGTACATTCAAGAAAAGTCCTTTACCTCCTGGGTATCTGCAGACTTAGCATTCTCTATCAAGGTACTGCTCAACACAGGGGAGTTATCTAAGCTGACACACTCCAGTTCTGGTGATCCTTTCTCGGTGGTGCTGAAGGCCCAGCTCTCTAGGCTTGCTTTTGTCCCTTGTCTTAACTCTTGTGAGATGAAAACTGTTATGGGCCATACCCTAGGGAGATGCCCCTTCTTCATTCCTCTTAATCCTGATTGGTTTACCAGGTCATAGAGGGTCATTACACAGCTTTCAGATCACATCTTTACATACAGGTATTTTGGGGAGGAAACAAAAATATTTATCCTCTAACTTAGCCAAGCACTGCTCAGTTACTTAGTCATATTTTGGTTGAGCCTCCTAAACACAAGGCCCATCAAGTTCTGGAGGGGAGGGTGTGTTGGCATGGATAGGATCTTTTCTCATTTTCTCCAAGATTAAAGTTATTTATATTCACAGTTGTTTTTGTTTTATTTGGTCCACCTTGGATTTTTTTTTTTTAAAAAAAAGCTGTCAGGCAAGGAGTATTACAGGACAATTAAGGAATTAGCACAAAGGTAAAGAAAGAAAAGATTTAAAAAACGGTGACTAAAAGACCTAAATCAGCAAAGACATTTTGCTTCACTTATCAAAATAAAACAAATATAGCAAAACAGGAGAAATTTCTGCCATGTCACTTATGAAAGACTGTTAAATGCAGCCAAGGTGCAAGACAGATCATAATGGCAAATCTCAAAAACAAAGGCTGAGCATATACAGTGGCAGGCATTCTCAGACAGTGGTGGTAAGTGGCATAAACTGGTATGGTCTCTCCTCTCCAGGAGCATACAACAACCTGTTATCAGTACTGAAAAAATTTAAGCACTTTACCTAACAATTCCATTTCTAGGAAGTTATCCTAAGTTACCAAGACATGTAAAAAATTATACTTAGTTACTTACTCTAGGACTACAGGCAACTGTAAAAGACCATTTAAATAATATACATATCCCCAAAGGATCAAATAAATAATGTTAAACAATGTAAACAATGACAGTTACCCAATGTGATGATGTCTACTCATATATATTTTTTAAATAAATAAAGGGAAGTGGTGGACCCTTTAAACAGCCTAAACTTATTATTTTAGGTACTGTACACTAGCTATAGCCCAGTACCATAACTGAAATCATAATAAACCTGAGTCATCAAGAAAAACCCTCCGTTCCTGGGAAGCCCATCATCTCCTCTGTGATCATTCAGTTCTTCTCCCTGACCTCACATCATAAACAGCTCAAACCACAAGCTGACAGGTTGCAGACACTAAACACATACTTGGGCTTTCGGGCTCCACACGTCATTCAGGAGACAGGAGGGCTGAAGGGATTTATCTAGAAGCGGCTGAAGGGATTTATCTAGAAGCAAACATAAACCAATGCCTTGACTCCTATTTTTAATAGCAAATCTGCTAGTTTCAGTTACATCCTCCAGGATGACCAAGCAATGAACTTGCCCAACTTCACATTGTGATTCCACAGGCAGACACCAGCTAACCCCAAGGACAGAGCAGACATCAGCCACAGGCTTACCTTCCCTTTAAGGGTTTGCAAAGCATCAAGGTAGGCCGCCAGCATGGGCAAGCTCAAGGTCTCTACCAGGGTGCTATGCAGCCACTGGATCAACTTGGTGTCCCAGCTCACACTGGCCAGAGCCTGCCGCACTCTCCTTGCACACTTGTCCACAGCCACACGGCGAAGCACAGGCTCATTGCAAGCCTGAAAGGGAGAAGTGGAATTAATAAAATATGAAGGACAGCTAGTTAACAATGGGGAGAAGGGCAACAAGTCAGCCAACAAGGCCTGAATAAGGAAGAACCAGCCCTAGACAGACCTCTGCCTCTTACCCCTTCATTGGCCAAGCGGGCAAGACGATCAGATTGCAAGGCTTTGAGAATCTTATTGAATAACTTGTTCTGAGCCAGTGTCCATCCAGTCCTAGAAAAGAAATTAAGAAATTAAAGTCAAATCCAGGAACACTCCTCCCATGTGCACGTCATATATTTATATGACCTACATGTAGGAGGAGTATATATCTACATACACACGCACATATATATATATAAAGATATGTTTTACCATTGCAGAATGAGGCTGGCATTGGGGTGGGGTAAGACTGAGAAAAACTGGATGAAATATGTTTACGGCATTGAAGTCTATGGGGAGAGAATAGTCTAAAAGTATTATATTTTAGGGCATTATTTTTATCGTAGGAGTACGCAATGAGCGTTGCAGAGTGGATTATATTTAAGGGTAGGGG